ATGCTGCTTGGCCTGCTGTGTTCATCCAGCCCTGCACCTTGTTGTCTGGGTACAGGATGTGCAGGTCAGATGGGTTAGCCGTGGGAAATACAGGGTTACAGGGATAGGATAGGGTAGGGGGTGGGTCTAGGGGGAAGCGCGCTTTGGAGAGTTGGTGTGGCCAAATGGTGTGCTTCCAAGCTGTAGGGATTCTATGACTCACCTTGCCCAGACTCGTTCTCCAACACACTGTAAAGCTGTTTGAATGTCCCAGAAGTTAGTTAGGAATGGACACTGCCCAGAATGCACCTTCCAGTGCTGTGAAAAGAGATTGTCTTAACTTGTCCAAGGCTGACAATGCAGCACCAGTGAAAACAATTCCACCCAGTCACACTCTGCATTTCCAAAAAGACAAGCATCAGAAGTCCCAGCCAGAAACATCCAGCCTGGTGCCAAGCTTTTGGAAAGGAATGGGAGCAAGCTGAAGGTCATCACAAATTTCCTGAAGATCCAGGCCACCATTTGCACGTGGCTGAGGCAATAACGAAGAATAAGTCCTTGCCGCACAGAAAGAGGCCATTCAGCCAATCTTACCAGTGCTGGTTCTGCAGAAGAGCCGTCGAATCAAATCCACTCCATGTGCATTATCCCTATCTCACTGCGATTTTAATTTTCGCCAATTTCAAGTTTTTGACCAATTTTCTTTTGAATACTGCTCTTCGATCTGCTTTCTCTTCAAACAGTTCCAACTGAATTTGAAATTCTACCTTAACTGCAAGATCTGTTATTCGTTACACGTTCTTAGATCTTTAAAAAGAAAAATCTTGTTCTTGGCCAGATTCCCAATGCACTGCTCGAAGATACAATTCTTGAAGTTTTCTACAGATTTGTATTCCATGTTACCCTGACCCATCTAAGGATACAGGGTAGGCCATTTAGGACTGAGATTAGGAGAAATGCCTTCACCCGGCCTCAGTGGAATTCTCTGCCACAGAAAGCGGTTGGGGCCAAATCATTAAATGTTTTCAAGAAGGAGGTCAATATATTTCTTAGGACTAAAGGGATGAAAGGGTATGGGGAGAAAGTGGGAAGAGGGTACTGTGTTAAATGAAGTAGAGGTGCTGGTGTTGGACTGGGGTGGACAAAGTTAGAAGTCACGCAACACCAGGTTATAGTCCAACAGGTTCATTTGAAATCACAAGCTTTCGGAGCGCTGCTCCTTCATCAGGTTAAGTAAAATGAATGTATTGAATGGTGGAGCAGGCTGAAAGGGCTGAATGGCCTTCTCTTGTTCCTATTTTCTATGCTTCTATGATTTTTGCAGTGGTCTCATGCACTCCCCTATGAGGCAAATCTATATTTAAATCTTCCTCCTTCTTGTTAAAAATAGGAGAAGTTAGGAAGTTACTTTTTGACTTTTTCCAGCTGCAATAAGGTGACACTTGCTGCACCTGACTTCTGCGGTAAAAGGAATTCCCCTGTTTTTGTGCTGAAGCTGCTGAATGTGCATATATATGACACCAAGTTCTTTCTTTTTTTCCCCATTCCATCACCCCTTCAAAAAGAGCCATTTGCCCTGCAAGTCAAATGGGTTGACTTTTGAGAAGTGAAACAAGAAAATCTTGTGACTTCCAGACTTGGCAGTGTGTTTTGTGGTCATGGTGTCTTTTCCAAGTTATTAGCCGGAAACAGCTGTCCCAGGGTTAAATGAAAGATTGTACGTCTTTAACAGTGAGCCATAACCTCTCTTGGCTTCTCAGACAGCCACTGATCCCCTTTCCCCTGTCAGGATGTCAGGTTAGTTCTTCCATTTTCTCCACTCCTAAGACAAATCTGTTCCACATATCCAAATTGATCCAATTGACAATGCATTCATCGATCTCACCCTTTCAAATTCAATTAACTCTGAGGGACGCAGAGTGTTAATCCACAGTGCAAAAAAGAAATGAAAAGAAAGGTTTTTTATTTCATTCAGGGTTATCACTGGAAAGGCTATCAGTTATTGCTCATTCCCTAATTTCTATAGAACTGAATACTTTGCTCAGTAATTTCAGACGGTGGTTGAGAGTGAGCCACATTGCTGTGGGTCTGGAGTCACTTGTAGGTCAGACAAGGGAAGGATGGCAGATTTCCTTCCCTGAAGGACATTAGTGAACCAGATAGGCTTTTAAAAATAAGCAATGCTAAATTTTTGGTCACCCTCACTGAGACTTTTCTTAAATACCAGATCTGTTAATTGAATTTAAATTTCATTAATTGCTCTGGTAACTGTAATCGGCCAGCTGGGCCTCATAGAGTGTGAGTTCCCTGATTGGGGCTGTTAACATGGTCCAAACAGGGACCCCTGGCTGACAGATATAAACAGGAGGATCTAGGGTTCTGTTCACTCCGAGAGCTGGCTCTGAGGAAGCTGGGTCAGGGCCAAGGACTCTCCACATGTAAATAAAGGGTGACCTGGTGGTGGCATACCCACCTCTGTGGAGTTATTTCAGATGGATTCAAACCCATGCCCACAAAGCATTAGTCTCTGGATTACTAATGTAGTGGTATTACTGCAACTGAACCCTATCAAAATCCAAATTTATATTGTATCTTCGGGTTGATCCAAAGCCATTGAAGCAACTCCAAAGAGGTGCTTCCCATGTCGGAAACTCTGCAGTCATTTAGAGCCGTTTTAACATTGAAGGCTGAATATTGCCCTATGGCTCTTGGTGTTATGGCCAAGATTTGCCCCTTAATCAAACAACTATGACCTGGTCACTACTGCATGAGGGGTTTACTGAATTAAAAGCGACTGCCGCATTCCCCACATGAAAATAGTATCAACAGCTCAAATGTACTTCACTTGCTGTAAATGGGCTGTGCGTTCTGAGACTAACACATCTTCTACCCTGTGGAATAGTGTCCAGCAATTTACAAGTCATATCTGCTGTTGTCTGAAGAACACAGTTAGTCTAGAGCCTTAGAGTCATAGAGTTGGAGAGCACAGAAACAGACCCTTCGGCCCAACTCGTCCATGCTGACCAGATATCCTAAACTCATCTAGTCCCATTTGCCAGTATTTGGCCCATATCCCTGTAAACCCTTCCTATTCATATACCCATCCTAATGCCTTTTAAATGTTGTAATTGTACCAGCCTCCTCCACTTCCTCTGGCAGCTCATTCCATACACGCACCACCCTCTGCGTGAAAAAGTTATCCCTTAGGTCCTTTTTAAATCTTACCCCTCTCAACTTAAACCTATGCCCTCCAGTTTTGGATTCCCCTACCCTGGGGAAAAGACCATGCCTATTCACCCTATCCATGGCCCTCATGATTTTATAAACCTCTATAAGATCACCCCTCAGCGTCCGACACTCCAGGGAAAATAGCCCCAGCCTATTCAGCCTCTCCCCATAGCTCAAACTGTCTAACCCTGGCAACATCCTTGTAAATGTTTTCTGCACCCTTTCAAGTTTTGCAACATCTTCCTATAGCAGAATTGAACGCAGTATCCCAAGAATGGCCTCACCAATATCCTATATGGCTGCAACATGACCTCCCAATTCCTATACTCAACTCACTGACCAATAAAGGCAAGTGTACCAAATGCCTTCTTCACTATTCTATCTACCTGTGATTCCAATTTCAAGTAACTATGAACTTGCACCCCAAGGTCTTTTGGTCAGCAACACTGTCCAGCAACTTCATTGCTTAACCACACCACTGGATTATGATTCGTCCTTCTGCACTGGTATCTCAGAGTCTCAATGCAATTTTGGAGGGCTGTATGTTGCATCATTGCTGTTCTCACAAGTTAGTATTGCCTGGAAGATTTTCGCCTCGGAGTTGTGCCCAAGAGGTATAACAAATGTCTTTGGTCTTTTGCAGTGTTTGTTTGGATTCAGTATGCTGTACATTCTGCAAGCAGTGGTGAGTTAAAATATCAAGATTGCGAGCTTTGAGCCTGAATAGCTGTGGGAAATAACGGAGTGGGGGGAGAAAAAAACGTTCTGAGAAGCTTAGATTTGGGTCACTTAAAACATGCTTGACTTTGTCATTCAGGTGAAGGCGATTACTTGCCCATAAATCTCCTAAAGCTCAGAGATAGCAAGAACTGCCGATGCTGGAGTCAGAGATAACACAGTGTGGAGCTGGAGGAACACAGCAGGCCAGGCAGCATCAGAGGAGCAGGAAAGCTGACGTTTTGGGTCGGGGCCCTTCTTCAGAAATGGGGGATCTCGACCCGAAACGTTGGCTTTCCTGCTCCTCTGATGCTGCCTGGCCTGCTGTGCTCCTCCAGCTCTGCACTGCATTATCTCCTAAAGCTAAGAATGGGGCTTTCGAATCGCCATGTAATATTGCTTGGCATAAAATTTAGCACATTCTGTGAAACCCACCCTGGCCATTTTGAACGAGTGCGGCAATTGATAAAAACAGCCAAAAAGACGGGCAGAATAACATCGCAAATTGTTTGAACACACTTACCTTACTGACAGTTCAGTGGGCAAGAGTCTCGCCTGGGCTTCAGAAGTTTGGAGAGTTCAGAGATCAAAGCATATAAACAAGGCTGGTCCTGCAATGCAGTGCTTCACTGTCAAACAGCCTGCCTTCTGAGCCCCTTGTACACTGTGAAAGATCCTCTATCGGCTAAAGGAGAGCATGGGTCTGTTCACATCCTGTGTGTGGGCAGCATTTATCCCTCTAACTGAAACAGTCACTGTAATGTTGCATTTTCCTTTCCTTCTGACAGAACTCTCTGTGCACCAATCAGCTATCATTGTCCCTTACACTGGAGCAGGGATTGTACCTTAAATGTACCTTGGCTTGGTTGGAATGTTTTTCAGTTGAACCTTGACCTCAAGAAAGTTAAATACGAATCCACAGCTCCTGCAATCAGCAAGGGAGTGACCAAACAGTGAACTGCCCATTCTGTAACCGGTTCCCCAAGGGTAGTATCAGGGTCATTGCTTTTTCAGGCAGATAAATGACTTGGACACTAAAACACGGGTCAATTTCTCCCCAAATCCGGCAAACGCGGAATCTAAACCAAAAAGAAACTCAAGAATCAGAAACAAAATCAGAAATTGCTGGAAAAACTCAGAAAGCAGAGTTAACATTTCAGATTCGGCGACCCTTCCTCGGAACAAAGGTGTGGCAAACAATGAGGGAGATACCAGTCAACTGTCACAGGACATGGGTAATTGAGCACCATAGGCAGGCAAGTGATGGAATTTCGTGTGCAGAAGTGTAATGTGATGCATTGATAGAAGAGATAGGGAGAGACAATATTAGAATTAGAATTGAATTAGCTTTATTGTCACTTGCACTCACCTGGGTACAGTGAAAAGTTTACAAATCGCCACTTATGGCTTCATCTTAGGCACCTAGGTACCTTGGTACAGATTCTTCAGTACAAATTCTTAGGGAAGAAAAATAAAAAAGCAAAGAAATAAAAGATCCAGCAATACATTAGAAAAAGAGAGAAATAAGAGTTCAGAACAACAGTCCTTTCATCCACACCGCGCTGAGCTTCATCTCGAGGCCGGGACTTCGAGTCCACGCTGAGGCCGGGAGCTTGAGTCTACACTGAGGCCGGGAGTTCGAGTCCGCGCTGAGGCCAGGAGTTCGAGTCCGCACTGAGGCCGGGAGTTTGAGTCCACACTGAGGCCGGGAGTTTGAGTTCTCACTGAGGTCGGGAGTTCAAGTCCACACTGAGGCTGGGAGCTTGAGTGCACACTGAGGCCAGGGGTTTGAGTCCTTGCTAAGGCTGGGAGTTCGAGCCCACGCTGAGGCCGGGAGTTCAAGTCCACACTGAGGCCAGGAGTCCGCGCTGGCTTTCACCCCAGACATTGGCGATGCTGCCTAAGAGCGGGAAGTAAAAAGATGAAAAGCAAGAAGAGAGAGAAAAAAAGAAAAGAAAGGGACAGAGTGGTCAAGCTTTGGCTCAGCGGTCCTACTCTACCACCATCTTGACACAGTTCCATGCAATGCAAATGGACAAAGGAATTTGAGAGATCATTGGAAGGTGACGGCACATTGCAGAATTGGTACAATGCAGAAGGATTGCACAATGGACAATTCAGCCCATCGTGCCTGCACCGATTCTTCAAATGAGGATCATTACTGAGTACCAACCTCATGGCTTTCCCCCCAGCAACCCTTACACATGACTATTCCAACTAACTATCCAACCCCCCCTTTCAATACTTCAATTGAACCTGCCCCCTCCCCCACCTAAAATACTCATGGAGTGAAAAAAAATTTCTCAGATGACCTTGGCTTTGATGCACATCACTTTAAATCTACACCCTCTCGCGTCTGTTTGCTTCACAAATAGCAACTGGTTCTTTTCCACCAACCTACTGTATCCAACATCTCTCAAATCTCCTCTGAGCCTTCTTCTCTCCAAGGACAACAGCCTCCAACTTCTTCAGTATATCTTCACCAATGAAGTTCCACATCCCTGGAACCGGTCAAATTTAGATTTATAGATTTAGGTTTATTGCCCCATGTATATGTTTGTAGCTGTGTCTTCCTTTTTCCACATTAATCCTCTTTTTAATCCATATTCACTTCACCTTTTCTC